GAAGTAAAAGAGTTTTACTCAAAACACAAAATTCATGTACCAGAGTTGAATTCTAAATATATGGTTGGTCATTGCCGAAAAGAAACTACAGTTGAGCGTCTTTATCGATCACTTTGATGTTTGCAATGAGGCATTAAACTTTGTATTGATGAAGTTAAGGACACGATTTAATGATAAATCAGTGGAATTCCTTTCTTTGAGTGTTTCATTGGATCCCAAAATTCATATGAGTCGTTCAATGTCGATGTTATTTGTACTCTTGCAAGGAAGTTTTATCCAGAAGATTTTAGTAGTCAGGATATATATTTGTGCTTTGGAATTCGAGCTGCAACACTATGTTCATGATGCGATTAATCATACAAAGTTTCAAATATGTACACTTGTTGAATTATGTGAGGAGTTGACTAAGAGCAGAACATCTGATTCATATGTTATGATATGCGAATTGATTGGCCTTCTATTGATCTTAGTGTTTCTACTGCAATAGCAGAACAATCATTTCTCTCATGAAACTTCTAAAGACAATACTCGACAACAAAATGAATGATGGCTTTCTTGCTGCTTGCATGACACTTTATATTGAAGAAGACATTACTCTTGGTATAAAAAAGACCTTACTCTTAGTATAGATGTAGACTTTATTGTTGACGATTTTTTTGTTTCAAAACCTCATCGAGAACAAATTTAGGAGAAAACTCTTGCGTAGTATATTTTATTTTTTGCTTATTTTGAAAATTTTCAATGTATTATCATTTAAGTCTTTCAGCCCACCCCAACATGAAATCCTGGATCCTCCCCTGGTACTACGTATAACTTTTAAGTCAATTGTCCGCATAGGCATGTAAAATTGGAGTGTACAACGTAATGGAAGTACAATTGGTTATCCTTTTAGTATGTAGTACTCCGTATTACTTTACAAGTAAATTGTTAAAATGTGAATATATTACATATGCATTGCCTGTATAGAAATGTGAAAATATATGCATTGTTTTACAGAGAAATTGGGAACTTGAACTTGCGCTAATTAAATAAGGAAAATTTTTAGTGTACATGACTTGGATACAAATTGTACACAAAACCCCCCTAGTTGTCTGTGTACACATGCAATTCGTATAAAAGAGACAGGACTTCATGTCAAATTGTCTGCGTACATAGACAATGTAGACATTTTGTGTACAACTTGTGTACACCATTAAATAATAGTTCCATGGTCTTTCGTCGCCTAGATACTTCTGAAAATACGGAAAAATCTGATTACTATTCCATAAAGACAGTTATTCACGTGAGGCAAGCTAAGATTGCAGGTTATTACTCCCTCTGTCCCAAAATTAACTTCGGTTTTGACTGGGCACGGAGATTAAGAAAGTGAGAAATGTGTGGTTGAGTTGTGTAGAGGAGAGAGAAATGTGTAAGAATGATTGTGAACCACAAATCCTTTGATAAAAAGGGAAAGAGGAGATAAATTTGGGACGGACTAAAAATGAAAGAATGAAGATAATTATGGGACGGAGGGAGTATAAATTTTCATTAGTGGCCGTTGTTGAATATGGGAAAAATAAATAAAATTCCATAGTGAAGAATATAATGTCACACAAATTTCAGTCAAATTTAGGGAGATTTTTTTTACTTTTGTAACTTTCCGTCAAACAATCATAGATGCAAGTTACTCCATAAATTATTCCTATGACGCGTCCTTACCCCGTCTGGTTGATCCGGTTGGAATTCTATGACAGTGTCTTATATTATAATTAAATTAAGTAATTCGGGTATATTTTGAGAAATAATTTTAATAAGTATATATTATAATATGTTAGTATTGATAACTGTGATGTTATAAATGTATTATTTTTAATATTTAATGAGTAATTTTTCACTTAACATTGTTAATTGTTTCCTAAAATTGAAATGGAAACCTTCTAATAGGATGTCCAAAAAAGGAAAGTAGGAACCTTCTAACGGGACAGAGAGAGTATAACGTAACTTTACTGCTTAGGCCGGTTGGAATTAGTTGTTCTTAAGGGTAATAATTGTAATGTTACTATATGTTATGTGAGTTTTACCATGTAATTATGTGAGTTGAAATTTCTACTCCCTCCGTCCCAATTTGTTTTGCAAAGTCAACATTTTTTGGTCAACCAATAATAAAAGTCAAACCTTCCTATGGATAATTAATTCAATTTTTAATAATTAAAATCTACATATTCAAAAACTACATTAAAATCTCTTCAAAGTTGTAAACTCCAAATTAGAAAATAATTAAAAGTTGACATCCTAATTAAGTGAACAAAACGAGACTGTTTGACTAAGAAAAATCAAATTTGCAACTCTTTTTGGGACGGAGGTAGTAATTCCTAAAATTTACCGTGTAACACTATATAATGTGATGTTTTTTTAATGTAAAGGCTTACATTGCATTTTGGCTTCTTTCATCAAAGATAGGTGTGAGCGAAAGTCTTTTCTTGCTAAAACCATCTCTTATCTTCTCTACACAAAAACTCTCACAGGATTCCACATAGAGTCATTCACTCATAGGGAAAACTATCAAATAGGTCCTCGTACTATACTCAAAAAGTCAATTGAGTCCTCATACTATTAAATCATTCAATTACATCCTCCAACTTTCAAAAAATGTTCGAATCCCACATTTAGCCGGTAAATAACCGGTTAAAGGTTAAAAATGTACATGTAGCACCCACGTGGCAACTACTTACTTTTTCTGTTTTCTTTTTATTTTTCTATCTTTTTCTCTCCCCCTTTCTTCGCCCAGACATCTTCCTCCCAAGCTTCAAATTGCACCAAGCTTTTTTTTTTTCTTTTACATTTGTTTGTTCTTCTCTTTTACTACATATTATATAACTCTTGCTATACCCTCCATCCATCTCCCTGAAGGGCGCTAGCAACGTGCAACACCTGCACGCCGACTGCGGACTCCGGCAAAAGGCTCTGACATATGACTCCAGCAACAAACGCCGACAATGGCGTCGGTAAGCATTCCCTCGCCACAGTGTCTCCCTTCATCAACAATCACAAATCCCATTGAAGCCCAAAGAGTGAAAGATATGAAGAGGCAGAGGTCTTTGGCAGCAGTGGCGGAGGGAGGGGGTGGCCAGGCTGGGCCCTGGCCCAGGGCATTTTTTTATTTTATTTTATGTTATATATATTATTTAAATGTTTTTTAGAAATGGGCTCAGTCCAAAAATAAAATTGGCCCAGGGTAGAAAGGCCCAATCCGGAAAAAAAATCCACCTTTAATTGTAGCTCCCGTAATCGCCCAGCCCCTTGGCAGCAGGTAAGTTTTTTTATTTTACTCCGTAATTTAAGTAGCTAATTCTCCATGGCTTGGAAGTTGGAATCGTGATTCTTGAGATGGAGTGTTGGGCTCTTTTACGTATACCAGTTTTTACAATGTAAAATGTGAATTTCTTCTAGTTTTGGTGAATAATTTTTGTCTTTGTGTATTCATTTGTGAAAATGAAAATGAGGATTCTGTTTTTTAACACACTACTATGAATAATGTGATTCAAAATAATATATTGGTTATTTTTTTAATTGTTGTCATTTATTCTTCTAGTTTCTTCTAGTTTTGGTGAATAATTTTATTACTGGTTATTTTAATAATTGAGCAAGATCCGGGAAAACGGGAAAAAGACGGGGTACAAGTCATCAAACAGACATGGACTAGCGAAAGAAAACGGGGTATAAAGGTGAGATTAATATAAGCTTATAGTTTTCATTTAGCCTAAATTTTTTATATGGTGTTTTTGGTTTACAACCGGCCCAGCCTGAACCCTCATCCTGGCTCCGCCCCTGTTTGGCAGTTGTTAACAACTACCAAATAAGAGAATCATTAGAGAAGAGAGGAAGAAGTCCCAGATCTCAAAGAAGAAAAAGAAAACTGAAAGAGAAAAAAGAGGAAAAGGGGAAGGAAATACAAGGGAGGAAATTGGTAAGGGGGGGGGGGGGGGGGGGTTGGTGGCAGTTGGTGAGAGTAGACGGAGAACTCACCGGAGAATATGGATCTATAGAGCAGAGAGACAAGAAATTAAAAAACTGAACAAGGAGAAAGGAGGAAGAGAGGTAGGAAGGAAGGAAGGAGAGTCAGGAGAAGAAGAAAAAAGTTGCAGGTCGTACTCGTACAACCTGGGAGAAGGAAGGAAACATGGAGGAGAAAGGAGAAGGAAAGGAAAAAAAGAAAATGAAAAAAAATGGTGCCACATAGGCATCCATGTCAGCAATTACCGAGAGTAAATATTACCAACCGGCCAAAACGTAAAATTGAGCATTTTTTATTAGTTGGAGGATTTAATTGGTTGATTTAATAGTACGAGGACTTAATTGACTTTTTAGATATAGTAGGAGGACTTATTTGACAGTTTTGTATTCACCCATATAAAACAAATTGATCGCTAATCACGAAGCACACGATAGATTGGTTATCAACTTATATCTAGAGGGAGGATAATTAAGTTCTCATAAGCCCGCAGATGATTAGTTAAATTATCATCTATCCTTATAAATTTGGAAAAATTGATAGTAATAATTCCAACTATTGGCGGTCCGCTCATAATAATCCCAACTATTGATTATTACAGAATAATCCCAACTTTAGGGACCTTCCGCCAATAATGGTCCCTATGAATAAATTCTTGTAGTTTCTAAAGTGGATGGGGTGAGATATAACAAGTAATCCCTCTAAATAATCTCAACTTTTAATTTTTACGCTTAATTTCTATTTAAAATTCACTTTTTATAGAGGTAATATATGGTCCTGGACCATTATTGGCGGATAGTCTATATAGTTGGGATTATACAAAAATAATCAAAAGTTGGGATTATTTTCAGCGGACCGGCAATAGTTGGGATTATTATTTTCAATTTTTCCTATAAATTTATATAGAGCATTTCCCAAAAATATTGCCGTTGCCACTTCGATGGCAAGTTATGAACTTTGATTCAAATCCTCAGTCGTTTTTTTTGGATGAAATGTAAATATATATTAACACCCAGAAAATTATACATCACATAAACTAGATCTCCTAACCCCCCTCCCCACACACACATAATGTGAGGGTGAAAGGAGTTTTTTTTTATCTACTCTATTTAAAAAAATCACCAAGTAGAGGTTCAAAAATACATCGGTGCTGCCAAAGCACACACACAAATCATAAAATCAAAAACAGAATACAAAGGTGTTGCAAGATGCAAACACCCTAAAATCCAAGACCCTGATTAATGTCGTGGTATCCACGATGCCCATGCCACAATGACCAAAGCCGTCCAGGCCTCGGCATCCAATATATCCATGCCTCGGCATCCAAAAACACTCATGTAGCAGTCTGTCCAAACCGCGGCATCCATAATATCCATGCTACGGCCTTCAACTGAAAAGGTAATCAAGTCATGTGGGTATATATTGAAAAGTATTTTATATACCACATGCTTAATTTTTGCGACGACTTCATCTTCCTTGACGTCCCCCTCATCAAATCTGTTGGCATTCCTAGCGTGCCATAGGTAGTAAACCGCGGCGCAGAAGGCAATCCGGACAGCTTTCCCTTTGATCTTCGAGCCTTTATGGTCCTTCAAAATCCATTTGACCGAGCTGCTTAGAGTGGTCATCTCCCTTGTTAAGCCCAACCAATTCTTTATTTTTTCTCATACCCTACACGTGTAAGGACAAAGAAAAAATATGTGTGGCATTGTTTCCAAGCCACTCTTGCAAATGTCCCTTTGATCTTCGAGCCTTTATGGTCCTTCAAATCCTCAGTCTTTAATTCATGCAAGGTGGTCATAACAATGAAGGACCACAGTCAAGTGAATGGTCGAACCATTAGTGTAGCTAGAGTGGGGACTGGAGAGTGGACAAAGCAATTAAAAGAGAATCAATTTATTCCTAATTAACTATTTTGGTTAGTGGCCAAGAAAGAAAAACAAAAGGAGAGCTCCAGAAAGGAGGACGAGAAAAGGAAAAAAGTAAAAGCAAAAAGTAAAAGGGATGGGAAAAGGCTAGAGGAGACTAGGAGAGAAAGAGCGGCTATTAGCTATTTAGCTATGTTGGCCTGTTGGGCTTGCCATTAGGTATGTTGGACAAAATACTTTTCTAATTTGAAAAAATTTGAGTAAAAAATATTAAAAAATCATAAAACTGAAAAAATAAAGGGGAAAATAAAAAATAATGAATAAAAATTTAAAAATCTTTCAAATAAATGTAGAATATACAAATATTTTTAAAAAATAAAAAATATTTACTTTGATATTGTGAAAATTTTCATAATTTTTTTTTATATTTCTTCAAATTTTAACACTTCTTTAAGAGTTTTTAAATTTCAAAAACTTACTATCACAAGTCAAACATTGATTAAATGGTCAAATTGATCCAATTTTGTAAAGTTGGCGGACCTGCATGATACTTTTTTAGTACATGAGCTTAAGTGACACTTTGAAACTAGTAGAAGTACTTATTTGGTCCTTTTTTCAAAAAGAAATAAAATCATTCTTTCGAGTATTGTGCAAAATGTTGAAAGCCCAAACCTAAGAGTCTCGCGCCTGACCTAACAAAGCGTTTAGAAGGATGGAAATCACGTGACTCAATCAATTCTAACCAGGGGCGGAATCAGGGGGGAGCGAGCCGGTGCTGCCGCCACCCCTTCGCCGGAATTTTTTGACTAGTAGTATTAGGTATCAAGATTGGCGCCCCTGCCCATCTGGTTCATCTTCTTCGTTGGGAGAGCTGCGGACTGCGTGCGAGATGCGAGCCAGAGAGAAAATAAGTTGTGCGCTTGTATTGATTTAATTAATTCAATCAGCAAAACGACGTCGTTTGTGTAAGTGCACATCAAAATAAAAAACGACGTCGTTTTCCCTTAAGTTTGACCATTGCACTTCCGCCCCTGGCCTTCCTTTGCTCTCTCCCGACCGCCGCACTAGCGAGTAGCATCTGTCATCTGCTACTCCCGCAGTCCCGCCTCTCCGTCAAATCCCTCGCAAATCTCCGTCGGCCGTCGCAGTCTTGGAGTCGCCGCGACAGCGCCCTAGCTTCTTTCTCCTCAACTCCGAACTGGCGAACTCCGAAGGCTAGTAGCGCAGTAGCCTGTAGTAGGGCGTAGTTTGGTAATTGCTTTTCAAATTGAAATCTTTTTAATTACTTTAATTCGTTATCTTCTTTTATTGCTTATTTTGTTTTAAATTGAATTGATTAATTGCTTTAGGGTTTAAATTCCTTTGCAAGTTTGTAATTTATTGATTAATTACTTTAATAACTTTAAAGTTTAATTGATTAATTGCTTGAATTGTATAAAGTTGAAATTGTTTGTGCAATTTTGTTGATTAATTACTGTCATTGATTTAGTTTCTTTAAATTTGAATTGATTAATTGCTTTAACCCTTAGAATTTAAAGTTGAAAACTTTTTTAACTTCGTAGGTTACTCATATCATCATGTATTTTACAATTTTGCAACAGTTTTCAACATATGCAGACACGCAGCACACAATTGTCACAAATTTGTATTCTGAAGACTTTAATAACAATTAAAATTTTTGCATTTTATAATACTCAGCCTCCCCTTACTTTTCGTTCTGGTTCCGCCCCTGATTCTAACAATGATTTTATACTTGTGTGCATCAAAGATGCAATCGAAATACACAATGTATAAGGGTTGCTTTGCAACTGTTTTTAAAAAAACACTTCTCAGCTTTTGGCTTTAAAAAAGCACTTATTTTCCCAAATACTACAACTTTTATTTTTCTCGGCTTCCGCGTCAAAAGTGCTTTTACTTTTTCTATTACACAAAAAGCACTTATTTTACCAAACACTACTCACTTTTACTTTTCAAAATCACTTTTTTCTCATACACTATCAACTTTTATTTAATCACTTTCCCATTTTATTAAGAAAAACACTTTTTTAAAAGTAGAAGCTGTTGTAAACAGACCCAAGTGCTATGATCTTGAGAGGACCGTGATGTATTTAGATGCTTCATTATTATCGAACTTTCACATTCGGTACAAGTTGAATTACCAATGACAAAAAATTTTTGGGATTGTTGGGCGGTCCCCACATTACACTATTAAGGGCAACCCCAATTTCCCAAGCGTAGTCTACACATGCCACACAGAGGTCTTCAGTTTCATTCACACCTAATCAATACACACCTCCCCAAAGTCTTCCTTAGTTGATACTGAACCTTGCTTTAATTTGAGCTTATGCTAGTCAGCAACTTTCTTGATGATTTCTTGGGAATAAGTTATGATCGAACTCATCGAAGGTTGAGGTATTAAGTTAGTAAATAAATTGAACTTACTGTCTCCGTCCCAAATTAATTTGCAAATTTGACTTTTCTTAATCAAACAGTTTCATTTTGTTCGCTTAATTAGGATGCCAAATATAAGTTATATTCTAATTTGGAGTATGCAACTTTGAAGAGATTTTAATATAATTTCTGAATATGTAAATTTTAATTACTAAAAATAAAATTAAATATCAATAGTGAGAATTGACTTTTATTTTTAGTTGACCAAAAAGTGTCGACTTTATAAAATAATTTGGAATGGATAAAGTATTATTTCTGCTTTAATTTCACAGCAAACTTTATCATTGTGGCGGCCCCTGTGAAACACCCACCTTATACATATACATGTTGATAATGCTGGGCCTTTGAATTTGGTTGTGTTTTCTCTGCCCAACGCCGCACTTCGACCTGTTCTATTATTGACTCGCTCGGAGTGTGGTTGGGCCTTCTATTTTATTTCTTGGCCCATGGGCACTTCATTTATTCTTTCTAGAATCTGTGAAGGCCATGGGCGCTTGATTTATTCTTTGTAGAATCTGTCAAGGTCATTTTAAATTAATTTGAATTGGCTGCAACTATATGCTTGATTTTCTCCCCCAAACCAGCAATAGTTATCCGTAACTATCTGCCTTATTTTTCTCCTAATATATAGATAGTATCAAGCGGTAGTGCAGCACAGTCAGGAGCAGCTTTCCTATTTAAACGTAGCTTTCTCCTCTTCCAAAAGAGACAACTATCTCTAACCAATCTTCTTCTGGTTCTGAGCAAAACAAAGAGTTCCATCTCTTCTAAAAGAGACAACTTTCTCTAACCAATCTTCTTCTGGTTCTGAGCAAAACAAAGAGTTCCATCTCTTCTCTCTCGAGTGCACGAGAAAGAGGAGCACCGTGTAAACCTTGGGGGGCGACGCCCAAATTCCTGATTGCACCAAGTCAGGGGCGAAATCGCTTCTAAGTCAGCGGACTTCTAAATCCCTTCTAAATGGTTCTTATTCTTCCTGTTTTCTGAACTTCTTGGCCCTATATTTGAGTTATTGTCACAGTTTTCTATTATTCTTCCAACAATACAGATATGTCTTATCCACAACAAGGGATAGGATCAGTGGACTGCTTGGAACCAAACTGCTCCCCTTTGCAAGGTACGGCTCAGTTGAATTTCTTGCTGGCAAAATCTCAGTGACAATATGCCCGGTGGAATCTTTTTCTGTTCTTCCTTGGATTCTATCCCCACCTTCTCCTGTTCGATCAGGTATGTAGAAGTATGTATACATTTTCCTTATTGTTGCGCATCCCCTGCCGATTGAGCGGGTCGGGTCATGTTAAGCTGATTCTCAACTCATCCTGGACCAGAATTACTTCCGACTGGTTCTTAATTGCGAAGCCCGGGTGAATACCCGACTTCCGTCTTGGTAATACCGGGCATTCTGAAACGCCCATTCCATACAATAGAAACATACCGCCTCAAATTGGGCGAACATTGACCCGGACCCGGTACGTCGTTGTCGGGTCCAGTGCGATTGCGGAGGAGGCGGAGTCCATGGTGATGGGATCGGTGGGAGGGCGCATGCCGAAGCGGAGCTTCTTCAGCCAGCTTGTCCTTCTAGGGAGGGAAACGTGGCGAATCTGAGGACCCAGAAAATGGTTAGGGTCGGGAGAGATTTATGGGTTGGGAGGGAGCGAGGGGTAAAGAGAGCGAGAAAGCGACTTAGCTATGGGCTATCAGGCTATGGCGGATGCTGTGGTTGAATTTAGCATTTTGTGGATATAAGCTATAAAATTGTTCAAAATAAGATCAAAATATACACAAAAGTCTTCAAGAAGATTAACATTGTATTTAATTGGACTTGGGCTCTGATTGCAAATGATTCTGCAGAGCTTTTTGGGAAAAAGTGATTAATAGTAAAAGTTGGATTCTGTTTACAAACACAACTGGGAAGTGCTTTTAACTTTTTAAAATGATTTAGCAAAAAAGTGATTAATAGTAAAAGTTGATAGTGTTTGAGAAAAAAATGATTTTGAAAAGTAAAATTTGGTGATATTCGGTAAAATAAGTGATTATGTGTAATAGAAAAAGTAAAAAGCAGATTCTAGCTTTTAGTTTTTAAGTAATTCATTTAAGTAGAAGTTGTCTTTGAAAACATCATTTTTAGCTTTTTTAAGCCAAAAGTTGGGAAGTGCTTTAATTTTTTAGTTGTGTTTGAAAACAAAGCCTTGGTAGTGTTTGGTGAAATAAGTGCTTTTTGTATAATAGAAAAAGTAAAAGTAGATTCTACACAGAAGCCGAGAAAAGTAAAAATTGATAGCATCTGATAAATAAAGTGTTTTTCTTAAAAAAGACACAATCACTTGAATTAAGTGATTGCAAACAAGCCCTTATTTGAGTTCCATATAAAACTAGATCAAACTTGATTGGGCCAAAATCATATACTCGTACAATCAAAATTCTAAAATTGTAAAATACACGTAGAATAAACATCTATTAAATCAGACCAAATTTAAACAACTCAGATCAGTGATGTTTTCTTTTGGAATGTTTTCAACTCAAACCAGATCAGACCAAATCAAACCAGACCAGACTTCTGTAGTTATAGAGTACGCAGATACCAGACATTTACCAGACCAAGCCAGTTCAGACCAAGCTAGATCAGACCAGACCAGCAAATTTCAGTCCAAAAGAAAACATCACAAGTCAAGTTTCAGTAAAATTAAAAAGATTCAGACTTGAGAAATAGTCATCAATGGATTCTAAAGAGTTCATCCTTAATGATGGCCTTGAGAACGATTTTAAAGACGTGGCCTGGAACATGTAGAAGGAAAGTTTATAGTTGTATTTGTGGTGCGACAATAATTAAAAGTTTTAAAAAATAAAATACCTAGTACAGTTTTGAGAAGCTACATTAAGTGGCTTGTAAGACAACATGTATACTTTTTTGTATTAATTAGTTACCATAGTATCAAAATAGATTGAGAGCCCGTTTGATAATAACAAAATCAGCTAAAGAGTTGCATTTTGCTAAAATTTCTGAAATTCTGATTGAAATAGTTGAATTGGCTCATTCTACTGATTTATTAAAACGTTATTTTTAAAATATATTTTATTATTTAAATAAAGAAAAAAATTATATGTAAAAATTGTTAAAATGATCCCCTACGGCAACTTCAGCTAATACAACAAAAAAATAACTTCAACATTACTTTTTTTTTATTGTAGCACAATTCAACGCGCAAAATCAACAATTACGTTTTTATGAAAAAGTTGATTGATAAGTCTAATAAGCCGAAAAATATGACTATCAAACGGGCTCTAAATTAAACAATCAATTTTTAACAATTAATAGTCATATTTTTTGGCTCATAGTTGAAGTTGCCGTAGAGGATTATTTTAACAATTTTTACATATAAACTTTTTCTTTATTTCAATAATAAAATATATTTTAAAAATAAGATTTTAATAAATCAGTAGAATCAGTTAATTCAACTACTTCAATAGAGTTTCAGAAATTTCAGCAAAATCAACTCATTTAGCCGATTTTGTTATTATCAAACGGGCTGTTAATCTATTTTGATACTATGGTAACTAATAATACTAAAAAGTACACCTGTTGTCTTACAAGCCACTTAATGTAGCTTCTCAAAAATGTACTAAGTATTTTATTTTTAAAAAACTTTTAATTATTGTAGCACCACAAATACAACTCTAAACTTTCCTCCTACATGTTCCAGGCCATGTCTTTAAAATCGTTCTCAAGGCCATCTCTTTCTTTTCATGAAAAGTTAATTTGATCACAATTTCTTTTATGTTTAAATAAAAAGTTTAATATTTTATATTTTTGGTGTATTTTGTAAATTGTAATAGATCCCACCTTAAAGATAGTTCACACGTCTTATTTAAATAGCATGTGGCGCCTTATGTCTAGCTAGATGATCTAACGAGGAACGTTGTGATTTTCGCTCTCATGCACTAGTGAAGAGAAGAGATGGATTTGGATTGGTCTTAGTTTTGTAATACTTAATTTAATTTTAATTTATTAGATATATAATTAATACATGATTTTGTAAAATTTCAAGAAATATTAAATACAAACACACTAGTTGAACAATTTTTATATAATCTCTTGTGAGATGAATCTAGAATGTAAAGATTTTTTGTATAACATAAAAATTACAATACTTTATTACTTATGACATTAACTTAAAAAGAATGTATTACACAAGTAATAAACTTTAAACTATTCAATTAGAAGGCTCTTAGTGGGAGTTAGGTTATGCGTTGGGGTGGCCGTTGGTATATGATAGACTAAAATATATAAAGAAAAAAATGAAATCGTAAAGTTGTCTTACTTACTTCTGAAGTAATCATTTTTGCAATATGTACGGAAATCTTGCTGGATATCGGTAGTTTCATTTCGAAGAGAGAAGATATAGATTAACATAAAATTGGATTTTTTTAATCTTAATAATCTATTTTGATAATGTTATTATTTTCAAATATTAATAACAATAATTTATTTATTTTTATATCTTTGACCATAAATATAGATGGTTATTTTTACTACTCCGTATTATTTATTATTATAGTTGATAAATAATAAATAATAGTAAAAATAATCATATACTCCCTCCGTCCCGCTAAGATTGTCCCATTTTACCTTTTCGGGAAGTTCCACTAAGATTGTCCCATACCAAATTTGGTAAAGATTGTATGGCTCTAAACCAATCTTACTTTATTCTTACTTTATCAATTTAATATCAACCACACAAACCCACTTTTCTTAATAATCAAGCCACCTTCTTCCGTCTCAATCTTAGTGGGACGGAGTAGTAGCATTTTGAAATATCGCTTTTCTACTACTTCGTAATTGTTAAAGCCAAACAACTAAATTACTAAACATTTTCTAACAACCTGTCAACTTGTTCCGCTAATCAAACCCGACACGTTAACTAAATTCGTATTGGGACAACCCGCTAACATAATCCGCTATCCACTAATCGCTAAATGCATGTCAAACACACCCAAATAATTATCTTCTACATACTCGTACTCCCTCCAATTCAAAAACAAGTTCCAGTTCGGTTACGATGCTTGACTGACGATAAAGCAACTCGATCCCTGTTCCAACTCGGATTATTTTTAGTAAATAAAATTTACATATTAAGAAACTACATTAAAACCGCTGCAAAACCTGATCAAGAAAATTTCAATCTAATAAAAATTCGATATATATAATAAAAGATTAGGAGTGACTTAAGTTGACCAATGAATAGTGAAGTGGAACTTGTTTTTGAATCGGAGGGAGTATAATATAAAGTATTGTAGAGAAAAATTTCAAAATGCGAAAAAAAAAGTGAAAACATAAAATGGAAATTAATGCTATAAGCATATACTACGTACCATCATTACCATGTACATAGAATGTTAAAATATCGGAGGTAGGGTCATAAATATGGGTAATGGTGAATGGTACAATCATTAAAATATATTGTACAAGTGCATCTTGCTCAAGTATTACACCAACATTTTTATCATTCCTAAAATACACAAACCATCATTGGTGCTTATAAGTTTTTAGATAGCCATCATTGGTGCTTATAAGTTTTTAGATAGCCAGATAAGAGGGGTTTGACCTCACCAATAATGGGGTACATGCTCTCTAAATAAAATCTGAGTTCTTACTCAATGTAATTTCTCTCTCTGTCAAAATTTACTTATCTCACTTACCTTTTTGATTGTCCAAAAATAAGATCATATTTTCGATTTTGGAAAAAATATGTGATCCACAACATTTGACTTTGTTATATTAAAATTTCAATTACAAACATTTACTTTTTCAATCACTTTATTAACAATTTGCCAAATTAAAGTAGGACATAAAATGGGAGAGTGATAGAATGTTTTATTTCGTACTAAATAAACTAGCAGTACCCCAATAACACACTCTTAGAATGTTCCGGAATATTATTACTGTTATGTTTTTTCTTCTTATCTGGCTATACTATTTATAAGTAGGCATACTTTATGACTTCATTTTTTCCTTTACCTATTTTAGTCTATCATATTCCAACGGCCACCCTAATGTATACCGTAACTCTCAGTAAGAGCCTTCTAATTGAATAATTTAAAGATTATTACTTGTGTAATAATTCCTTTTTAAAATTAATAAGTCATAACTAATTGAGTCTTGTAATTTTTATACTACACAAATATTTATATTCTAGATTCATCTCACGTACATTATATAAAAATTGTTC